ACACACACACACACACACACACACACACACACACACACACACACACACATCACTTGATGTAAGCACCGGGGACACTTTGCTGGAACAGCATCTATGAAGCAGAGATTTGCTCAGTTGAATCAAATGCTTTCTGACAACAAGGAAAAAGGGGCCCAGTGGTCCTGCATCCTCTAAATCTCTCGCTCAGCTGTGTTGTTGTCAAGATGGGGTCTGCTGAGCAGCACAGCTTGTGAAGACATGCCCGCTCCCTCAGTGTGGCCGGGATCATCCTCAAGGATGCTGTCCAGATGGGGAAGGAGGTGTCGGACCGATGGCGGAGTCTGAGATTTTTTCACATCTTTGGTTATCCTCCTTTCTTTCCTGTATTTTGAGATTCAGTCCCTCGATGTCCTCAGAACCACCCCGTCTGTAAAGCCCTTTCCATCATCTCTGTTTTCTTCGGCAGCACGTCTATCCCCTTCCTCATGATGCCCATCAAGGACGGTGGGGTTAGAGGCCAGCTGTGGCGGCCCCCATGTGCTGGATGGTGAAAAGTCTGCTGTGGACGTTTCCGTCTTCCTTGTGTAGGTCATCTTTCCAGTTTCTTCCTTGAGTACTGTTGGGCTGACTTGCCGCTTTAGGTCTCTCACTGAGTTTTTCTTCCTCCGCTCCTCAGTCTCTCATGATGTGACCCCGTTCACATTCTCCAGTGACTTCTCAGTGACGCTTTAGAAATGAGACTACACCAGTCTTGTTTTAAGCTGCCGTCTCTGCGCAGAGATGGGATCATGTTTGCAGATAGAAGCCATCTCCTTCATTTGGGGGCATCAATCACTTTTTAAACGGGTCAGGGTGGAGTTGTGTGAATTACCTGCCATCTCTTCTTTTCCTTTTTCGAATTCTCTCTCCTAATTTTAATTTTGATCTTTGCTCTAACAAGTTGGGGCTTGGGCCATCATTAATAACGACTCCTACCTCCATAAGGAGCAATTGTCTGCCTATTAAAATAGAATCCACTTCTTTTGGGGGTGTGGTGTGATGTGGGGCTCACTAAGCCTGGAACCCCCTTACTTTCCTCTTGAAAAAAGTTTTCAGGACGTGTGAGTGTGAAAGGTGTTTGGCCTCTCCTTCATCCCTGGCATCTGAGCTGTAGTCTTGGGCACCCCCTCCCATGTCCGGCTCTGCCCCACAGTTACTTCCTATCAAATGGAGACTCCTTTCATGGAAAGGAGGCCGTCTGGTTCTCTGTAGAATCTCCCCCCCATCCTTCATCCTCCACCATGGCTGGTGTGGAAGCTGCAGCCCTCGCACTGCCCCATGAGATGACCAAATGTCTGGCAGGACGTCACCCAGCCACACAAGAAAGCCAACTCCACCCACTGTCTCATCCTCTTGTCCTGGCAGAAGGCACAGGCCACTCCCCTCCACGGAGCTGCATCTCCCTTCTCTCTCCTGATTCCTTACAGAGTGAGTTTGTCCCTCCAGTTTGGCCATTCCTGGTTCACAGGACAAGGGTCTCCCATTCACTACGAGCAGCAAAGCTGAAGACAGTAGTCCCACAATGGCACACTTCTTAGCACCATCTGATGGCTCCCCACCCACCACTCTGCCACCATCATTGAAGAAGGGGTGAGGGGCCATGAAAGAGCGACTGGCTGAGGCTCAGTAGCCAAGACCCCTCCCCAAGGGGCAGGCCAGCCTCCCCTTCCTGAGCTAGGCTGGCTCTCAGGAAGGGTTCAAAGCCTTTCCATCATGGTGGAACCTGCCCCTGGCTGGCTCCGGTTCCAAGAGCCCGGGTCTCCCCCAGTGCCCCTGAGGCACTGGAGTAGGACAAGGAGAGGTCCTCCATGATGGATACTCATTTCTAAAATGAGATAGGGTGAAAGTTGAGCTTGTTTGGAGGCTCCCAGCCTGGGGCTCTCCCCACTGGCCCATGCTGCCTTTTGAGAATTCTAGCTTGTAGAAGGGGTGGACCTGAGATGTATCTACTTGTCCCAGCCCCTCTCCCAGCCAGGATGCCCCGGACCCCTCCCCCAGCCCCCTCCAGGGCACCCAGGCCAGCTCTGCAGCGACAGTACCTAGGCGACGTGTGGGCCCCGGATCTTCATTAATAAAGGAGACATGAGTTTTCCATTCTGTCCATTTCACTTCATTGATTCTGTAGGAAAAAACAACACCGCAGTGGACTCATTACTGGCTAGTTATGGATTTCCTTGGCTGCCAGCTGGCTCCCAGGCTCCCCTGTCCCTGACTGGCCTTTGTACTCTCATGGAGCCTGGCGCTAGACTGCAGGAGGCCCGGAAGCCGGGCCCCCTCCCCTGCTGGGCCTCAGTTTCCTCATCTGGAAAACGGGAATGACAAGACCTGCTGGGACGACACCAGGAGATCCAGAGGATCAAAGGAGACGGGGGATAGGAGTGCCCCCCCCAGATAAGGGGGCCAGGTTGGTCTATGATGAGGGGGAGGGGCCTCACCTGGGAGGAAGGAGCCAAGAGAAAGAGGCTAAGGTCAGGCCAATGTGGGAACCAGTGAGGGGCCAGGCAGCGAGTGACCGGAGCAGCAGAGAAACAGGCCTCCAGCCGGGGGGAGCGCAGAGCCGGGCAGGCCAACTCGAAGGAGCCTGGTACACTGGCGACTGAAATGGCGTCTGATGAATCCCATTACGGTCGTGACATGCCAGCCACCATCCCCAACAAGAGCATTTATTAAGCACCTACTGAATCAGGGCAGCTAAGTGGAGCCACGGCAGACAGAGCTGGAGTCAGGAAGACCCGAGTTCAAACCCAGCCTCCAACACTTACAGTCTGTGTGACGCTGGGCAAGTCACTGCACCTCCGCCTGCCTCAGTTTCCTCACCTAGAAGATGAGGCCCACAATAGCACCTACCTCTCAGGGTTGTTGTGAGGATCCAATGAGATCATGTTTGTGAAGCATTAAGCGCAGCACCCGGTACATAGTAGGTGCTTAATAAATGTTAGCTATCACGATTATTAGTGAGCTCCAAGGTGGCCAGCGGGTCCAACTTCTATCTAATAAAAGTCTCCTTCATGACGTGCTAGACACAGGGACCTCCAGCCAAATCGGCCCCTTCTCCCCCCGCCCCACGTACCCCTGGACACCAGCAGGTAAGTCTAATCTCCTCCAGGCTGCCGTGGCCTGCCCCTAAGTCTCTCTTCTCCAAGCTGCACGGGGCCAGGTCCTCCAACTGTCTACACGGCACGTCCACGGCAGCTACGGGGCACCCTAGTGCCCAGAGCGCCAGGCCTGGAGTCAGGAAGGCTCCAAAGAGTCCAAAGAGGCCAAATCCGGCCTCGGACACTCACTGGCTGGGTGACCTTGGGCGAGTCACTTAACCCTGCTTGCCTCAGTTTCCTCCTGTGTAAAATAAGCTGGAGAAGGAAACGGCAAGCCACTCCAGTGTCTCTGCTCAGAAAACCCCAAATGGGGTCACAGACGACGCTGCATGTTTGCCTACGGGCTACCTCGATGCCTCAGAACATGGAGAGGTGGGGCTGGTCAGACTCAGCAAACTGGATCTGACCCGGTCCCCATTCCCAGACTGGTGAATCGCCTGAGGCTGACCAGCCACGATCTCCTGTCCCCTCCCAAGATCCCCAAGCTTTCTCTAGGGACCTTCACTTGTTATGCAAAACAGCTTCCCTAGTGAAAGTGGGAGAGGCCCTCTCCCAGCTCTCTCTGTGGGGCTCTGCCCCCATTAAAGACCTCCATTTTGCCATGTTGGTGGTTTTCCCTTGACTTCAGGCTGATGCGCTTGATGGACAGAAAGGATTCGCTGTGCCCCTGATGTAGGATGGTCTCAAGAGGCTCTCATGGGCAGCCAGGGTGAAGATGGCGTCCCATGCTCCCTGCCTGCCTCAGACCCAGCTTTCACTGTAAGCATCTCCTCCTTCCGTATGGTGTGGTTTTTTCCTATGGAGACCAACTTGTGGGACACATCCCTGTGGCCTGATACCGACCGGGCTCGGTAGGAGAGTGGGCGGCTAGTTCTCACAGGGGAACTGGACAGCTTGGCCTCTAAAATGAATGGTTTACAAGGGCCTGGGCAGAACGAGATGGTGGCCCATCAATAGCTCACTGGGCTCACTGCCTGCGCCTCTGTCTCTATGTCCCACCGAGGGCCTCAGGACACTCCAGCCCATCCACGTGAGGCACCGGGAGAGTGGGAGAGCTAAGGCAGAAGCCAGGATTATCTCAAGGCTGAGGCACAACGACTTGTCTCAACGCCACCGGGGGCACGGCCTCCACCGCATGGGGATGGTTTGTTTTGTCTTTGGGTCCCGTTGCCTGGGACATAGTAAGTATGTGCTTGTTGTATACATTGTAAGTAAGGCTTGTTAAATTGGGCTGCTGGATTATGGGGGACCCTGCCCACTCCCTGTTGGCACACTATGTGACCCAGAACTGCCACCTCCTCCAACTTGGCCGCTGGCCAGGGTTGGAGGGTAGCCCAAGACCATTTGCCTGCCTGGCCAGAACAAAGCGATCACTGGATGAGCTCCTCCCCCACCTGCCCGGGCCTGCAGGTCTCCCAACGGGGCACTCCCTTTGAACCTCTCCACCACGACAACGCGGACAAGCCCAGCCCTCCCTTCCCCCGCGTCTTCTCAGGCATCCTCTCATGGGCCGCTACCTTTCTCCCATAGTCCCATCCAGAGGGCTGGGGACGGGTCACAGAGTAGACACCTGAGTCCTGGGTGCCGGCACTCGTAGATAAAACCCCTTCCCTCTCTTCTTGGTGACTAGCGCTAGAGCCTCAGTGGTAGAGACAAACCCTTTGTGATGATGGTTTTCCCCAGAAAAAACTCGGCGGGGCTGCTGCCTTGGCCACTAGATGAGAAGGCGATCTGCCTCACCGGAAAGGGTTAGCTGCAATTCTCTGCCTTGAGTATGCTGAATTCCTACCAGGCTCTGGCAGGGGGGCACGGCGGGCACGCAGCTGAGGTCTGTGCCAGGCAGCGCGTTAGCCAGGGCTGGGGAATGGGATGTGGCAGTGACCTCCCCAGTCCCCTACAATGGCTAGATTATGCAGGGCCAGACAATGGATCCCTAGGGCCCCGAGAAGACGGCTGAAGGCAGAGCAAGAGATGTTAAGGGCACTACCAGTCAGACCTACTGTGGCCGGGCCTCTGGGGCACAGCTCCGGACCAGAGTCAAGGCCCAGTGAGGGCCTTCCCCATCTCTGGGGGACCGTTGGCCCTCAGTGGAGGGGCCCTGGAATCCCGCAGAATCACTTGTCCACAGACAGAATGTGGACCAGAGTCCAGCTTAGGGAGAAAATCTTCACAGGTGCCTTCTGGCAGCTAGGAGGCCCCTTGTGGGGGCCAGCAGCTGTCCATTATGGAGTGTGTTCAGAGCCACAGTGGGCAGCACTGGCATTCTGGGAGGAGGGAGGACCCCACAGGGATGGACCACAGCCCTGAGGCTGGAGCACAGACCCAGGGAAGGGATTCTTCTCCCCTCCAGTAGAGGGAGGGAGGGAAGGCTGCCAGGGGAGAAGCTTTCTGTCCACTTCTCACTCCCAGGCCACAGGACCTGGGGGCCACGGACGCACCCTAGATCTCTGAGGCTCCTGTGGGAAGGAGGCAAAAGGCCAGGTATGTGGAAACAGAGCAGAAACCTTTCACGTGCCCCAGGCACCGACCGCAGTTACCCGAGCGGGGTCCCCCACAAAGTCCTCTGTCTGGCACTGAAAGCCCTTGACGAGCTGGCCTCTTCTGCCTCCTTACCCATTTCTCCTCCCGCCATACCGGCCCACTGACCACACGTGACCCTTCGGCTCTGGCCATGCCCCACACCTGGGATGAGTTCCCTCCTCACCTCATCTCTGCCTGGTGGGATCCCTTCAAGACTCAGGTCAGGAGCTACCTTCCGTGGGGAGTGGTTCCTCATCCTCCACAGTAGCTCCTGGTGTCCTCCCCTCCCAATACCTTGTGTTCATTTTTACAATCTATTCTGTGTGTATTTAGCACATGCACATGCCGCCTCCATTAGAAAGTAAGCTCCTTGAGGGCAGGGATGATTTGCTTTGGTCTTCCTCTCCCTACCACCTTTCACAGCACCTGGCACGTAGTAAGTAGGTGATTAATAAATGTTCAACTATGTCAGTCAATAAGCATTTATTAAGCACCTACTGTGTGCTGAGCTAAGCACTGAGTTAGCCCACAATACTGAGAAAGCCAAGCTTAAATGCTGAGCCACAGGAAAATCCCCCAAGCAAGATGGCAGCTGGCTCAAGGTGGGCTGCTCCTGACTCCCCTCGGGGCGGCCCACCCACTCACCTCAGACACAGCCTGAAGTCCTCATCAGCCACCTTGCACAGCTCTCCCATGCGGAACTTACTCCTCAGCCACTCAGGCAGCAATTTCTCAAATTCCAGAATGGTCCTGGCTCTCTGGGAAGGAGACACAAGCCCAGGCTGAGACCCCCGGACCCAGCCCCGAGCCCCTTGAGGGAGGACAGTGCCCAGCCCATGCAGTCAATCTGTGGGGACCAAAGGCATGAGGAAAGGAGGCTGAAAATGTTCCCAAGACCCTGAGAGAGTCTGAGGCAGTGTGGCCTCAGGAGCAGGGAGCTGGGACAGGGAGAGTCCAGGGGATGGGGAGCCTGGCTGTATGCTAGCCCTTTCTAGCTGTGTGACCTGGGGACATGCACTGCCCTCTCTGTTCCACACAATGACGCAGTTGGAAGCCAGGGTCTCTAAGCTCCTTCCCCATCCAGAAATCTGGGAGCAACAGAATGGACCAGTGCTGTTACTTATCTAGGACCCAGGCTGAGGGTAACCAGCTCCTGGTGCGGGCCGGCCTGCCTTGCTGAGCCCTCCTCGGGGAAGCACCAGCCGCAGGCCCAGGTCTCCCCGTCTTAACAAGCCTTTGCTTGGTGCTGTCCCCCAGTTGAGAGGCTGCCGCTGGCTCTCCCTTCCTTCTGCCAAATGCCTGAAAAGTACCGTCTACCCCCATTGCCTCCCAATTCCTTCCTCTTCCTCACCTCTCAGCCCCGTACAGTCTAGCTACACCCACCAAGAAGAAGCTCTCCAGAGCCAGCGACCCACTCAGGCGGCCCATCCTCAGGCCTCAGCCATCTGGACCTCTCTGCAGCTTCTGGCGTCGTCTGCACCACCTCCCCCTTCTGGACATCCTTCAGTGACCCTGCTCTTGCCTCCTCCCCCTCCCCCTCCCCCTCCCCTCCCCTCCCCTCCCCCTCCCCTCCCCCTCCCCCCCCCCCCCCCCCCCCCCCCCCCCCCCCCCCCTCCCCCTCCCCTCCTCCTCCTCCAAGGGGAATCTCTCCTTCTTGGCCCCTTTCCTAGGCCTGATTGGGCCTCGCTCCTTCCCCCCTCCACACTTCCCCTTGGCAATCCCATCAGCTCCCAGGAGCTCATCCACCCAGCCCAGTCTTTCTGCTGAGCTCCAGTCCCCCGCTACTGGCTGACTGATTGACAGGCATTCCATATTCGACAAAATAGTCTTTCTAAGACAAGTCTGACCATACTACTCCCCTTCCAAAGAAATAAATCCTCGGGGGCTCCCTATCACCTCTGGGAGAAAACACCAGTGAGTGCTGAAAGCTCTGCCAAGGGCCCTCGCCTCCTCTGCACTGCTTTACGTAGGCCCTTTCGCCTCCTCTTTCGCGTCCTTTCTGTTCCCTGGGCATGAGCCTCACATCCTGCGCTCGTGCTTTGCACTGGCCGTTCCCCATTCCTGGGATGCCCTCCCTCCTCACCACCACTTCGCACAATACTTGATCAAAGTTTAGCTGCCTCCACCAGGAAGCCTCCCCACTGTCCTCTTCCTCCTCCAAATACCTTGTATTTGCTGAATTGCTTTCATGGTACGCCCCACCCCCCAGAATGTCAGCTCCTTGAGGGCAGGCCTCATTATGCTTTTATTTCTGTATCCCCAGACCTGGCACTAGAAAGGGCCTCCTGCATTGACTGGAAAGACAATGGCAGTGCAGAAGTACCTACTTCTTTGTGCTTTGGAGGGGATACCATGAAACCAAGTTCCCTGGCACTCCAGCTTTCTTGGACAATCTCCCTGAAAGGGCCGCTATGGCACAGCGGAGGAAGAAGCCTGGTTTCTGGTCCCAGCTTTGTTACGACCTTGCTGTATGACCTCAGTTTCCCCACCTGTAAAGGGTCCTTCCCTTCCAGCCTAGGGGGCACCCACCTGGAGACGCCAGATGCGCTCACTCTCCTTGGAGATGTTCTCCACGGTCTCCCCCATCAGGGCGATGAGCATGTTCAGCAGGAGGACGAAGGTCAGGATGACGTAGGTGATAAGGAGGAAGAGGAACAGGATGGGGTACTTGGAGTTCTGCTGAATGTTGAGATCTCCCAGGCCGATGGTGAGCTTGAAGAGCTCCAACACCGCATCGCTGAAGCTTCCGTAGGAGCTGCACTCGGTCTCCTTGTGGGGACACTTCTCAATGAGGGAGGCAAGGGCTAGGTGTGGAGGAGGATGCGGAAGTTACCTTCCCTACCCCTCGGGGTGGGCACGTGCCCCCCCTTCTCTGCCCCTTCACATCCTGTCCCCATCTGAGTTCAGCAGTCCCAGAAACAAAGAACATGATCACAGGGTCAAGGCAGAATGGCCCCGACACAACACGGCGCCTATGGCTGCCAAGCACGCTAGAAAGCACAGGCATGGAGGACGTTTCTTTCCTTAGATCATTTTAAGGCTAGATCCAACATCAAGAGTTAGGATCGTCTGCCATGGAGAAATGCTGGAAGCTTTCAAGAGGTCTTCCCCGCTGCCTGCTACCAGCACTCTAGGAATGCTCGCCCGAGCAGGAAGACCACAGAGAAAATGGGAGGTTGGCAAACATCGGCAAAGAGTTAATGACACCAATCTGCAGATGAAGTAAGTTTACTTAAAAACGCTAAGGAGTCAGCCATGAAAGTCATTGGAGTAATTCATCATTTCAGCAAGTCCTGTTCACTCACGTCCCACTCTCCGTGACCCCATTCGGGGGATTTTTTGGCAAAGACACTGGAGTGGTTTGCCATTTCCTTCTCCAGGTCATTTTACAGATGAGGAAACTGAGGCTAACAGGGTTAAGTGACTTGTCCAGGGTCATACAGCTAGTAGTGCCTGAGGCCAGATTTGAACTCAGGTCCTCCAGAATCTGGTGCTCTTTCCACTGCTGTCCGACCCTAAATCCTACCTATCTCTATTTTATAGCCTCGACATTTCTAGTCTACCTTTGGCCATTCTGTGCTCTCCTCCCACTGCATGTGGCCTGTCACCGGACCCCGTCACTTGCTCACACACGCCTTATACTGTGGTTTAGCAATGTTTCTAATGTTGATGTATATCTGGATTTCTCCACCATATAGGAAGCTCCCTGAGGGCAAGCACAACACTCTCTCCTTTGCATATCTCAGCCAGTATAGCTGAATAAATGGTCTCCATTAGATGCCTAGCATCAGTCATTTCAGGCTCAATGAGTAAATTGGGCTCCTAATCTGAGGTCAAAGAACTTTTTTCTTTTTGAAGTTTTGATCACTGTATTGTAATTGGCTTCCTTTGTAACCCTATATGCACTTTATTTTAAATCATTAAAACTCCTACTCTGGCTTTACCAGACTACCAAAGGTGTCCATCACACACACCCTGAGAGAGAGAGGTTAAAAACCCCTGAAATAAATGAATGAATGAGCAAACTGGAAATTTCGGCTGATGGAATCAGCCAGTGAGGTGTAAGTCAACAGCGCTTCAAATATCTGGGGCTCCAAGAGAAGCAGCTTGGAGGGAGATCAGAGCTGTGTCTTGTGGGGGGTGGGAGGGTGCACTGCACAAAGGCAGTGGCTCCCTCAGTGACAAATGGAGCAGACTTCTCTCTCTCTGCCTCTTGAGGCCAGGAAGGTTTCATAGTGGTGGTAAGATCTGGGTTGTTGCACGCTCCACAAAGCATCCAGGCCCAGGGGAAATGATGGGGCGGAGCCTGCAGAGGAGGACCACACCCACCATGGCCTCCCCTCACACCCAAAACCCCTCTGGAGGAGCCTCGCCGAGGCTTCCCAGGTTCTGCGGCCCTGACTCAAACCCAACATTTGTTGCCAACTCGAGCCGAATGCCCACCGATCACACGCTGTTACACTGTTTATTCTAATAGCCAAAGGAGATTCAGGAAGATGCCTAATCAACGGCTTGCTGACTGACTATTATGATGGCTGAAAATGGGTCTGCAGGAAAGCCCCATGCTGGCAAATCAATTAAACTATGGCCTATGTGCATGACCAGTGCTGGGCCGAGCCAGCCCGAGGGGCTGCCCCTGCGCCGGCCTGCTCTTTGATGGGGACGTGGGCCTCAGTAGACGTGGAATGCACCTGGGTGCAGCCGGCAGGTCTCTCTGGGACGCTACTGCTTGGCAGAGAAAGGAAACCTCAGGACACTTACCCACGCCGAACCCAAGTAAGAAGACGATGTACACAAACAGAAACTTCAGAACGTCGTGCAAAATGACCTGAAAGGAAGGAAACTGGTCACGAGGCACAGCGTGGAGCGTCTGCCGTGCAGGGCGCTCTGTGAGCCCCTCTCCCCTCTCAGGGTCCCTGGAAACCTGCCTCCTGAGGCCCGGCCGAAGCCTCCCTGTCCCTCACTCTCCTCCCTGGCCTCTCCAACAAGCCGCAAGCCCCCTGAGGACAGGGATCTTGCATGGCCACCCCACCCTGCTCGGTACCCCGTAGATCTCCACCGTCAGGCCGAGCACTTGAGGCTTTTCAGAAGCCGTACCCTGAAGCTTCCCTGGCATGCGCTCCCGCACGATGCGCCTGGCCCGCCCCTTCAAACTGAACGTGGAAGGAGGCGCCTCTGGCGCCCGCGGCCGTTGGAGGCCCAGACCCCACGCTGAGCCGGTCTCTGGAGCAAGCCCCCAGGTGGGTGCTGAGCTTGGCGGCGGCTCACCTTCTGTATCATGACGCTGTACATGCCCATGGACTGAAAGCCTCGTGTGTAGTAGAGCATGTTGGCCCAGCCCAGAGCCATGGCCAGCACCAGGCAGGCCAGGTACGCTTTGTAGGCAAACAGGTACAAGAAGACAGAGAGTATCACCAGCACAGCCTGGATGAAACTGTGGGAGACACAGACACGGGGTGAGGAATCCTCGCCCCTGAAGAGCCGCCCAGGTCGCAGCCCTCCAGCCCTGGGACCCAGCGCAGGGACAGCCTTTCTCCCACCTCCACGCCTTTACCCAGGCGGTTCCCCAGGTCTGGCATACATTTCCCCTTCATCTCTGCTCCTTTGCCTCCTCCCCTGAAATGACTGTATTTATGCCAGGTTCTATGGGGGCGCTTGCTTCTGTATGGACAAGTTGTTCTCCTACTCACCCCCCCCCCCCCAGAATGCAAGTTCAAGGGAAGAGACTTTTCCCTCTCTGTCTCTGGTGTATGCCACACAGTAGGTGTTTAATAAATGCTTGTTGGGTATCCAAGGGTGGCTGGCCCTGGGCCCACCGGGGATGAGCGGGCACCGAGCCCCCTTAGACCTAGGGCCCACTCTGGGTGCCCAGCCCCTGCATGAGCGGGAGGGTTTGGGAGCACTCCCTCCCTTGGAAACAGCGGCCTTGGGCTTCAGAACTCCCCACCTCCTCCCCTTGTGCCCCCTTCCCCCAACTCCTTCAGGGCGGGCAGGGAGACTGAAGGAACCACTGTTAGCAAAGAAAGGGCCATTCATTGCTGCCCAGTCAGGCCTCTGCCCTGAGGAAGTCACCAGGGCCTTTAAGGGAGGGGCCCCCACCCCCAGCTTTGTTGGCATCATCAGCGGGTCTGAGAGGGGCATCTTGGGGGGGAGACCCCTTCCCTTGTGGTCTGGAAGATTCAGCCTCCCCCTTTCAGAGCTGCCTCCTCCAAGACACCCTCCCTGATGTCCTAATGGTTAGTGTGCCCCTACATGACTGCGTTTACCACATGTCTATTTGCTATCAACTTATATTGGGTTTGGTGTTTTCTCTGAGAGAATGTAGCCCCAGCACCCAGCACTGACCCCTTCTCCCTCCTAAATGGATACTCCCTATTTATCCAGGCCTGTCACACAGTAGGCACTTAATGAATGCTCATTTAATTGAACCCTACCTCCAGCATATGTCAGCTGGGAGGCGGAGGGTAACTTACAATTCAGAGTTGGCCAAGAGCTCAGCACCCTTCTAGCCTGACTCAGAGCTGAACGAGAGTCCCTGAGCTCCCAGATTCCTAACAAGGGGCGGTTGTCCAGCCTCTGCTGGGAAGCCTCCGAGGAGGGGGGCCCCCTCCGCCTCCACCCCTCCCCTTCCTCTCCTCCCAAGGCAGCACCGATTGTCGGAAAGTCTTCCTGCCTCAGTCCCACCCCCTGCGCCAGCTCTACCCCCAGGGCCCAAGCAGAGCCAGGCTCATAGCCAGCTCTCTAGTCCCCCCACCCCACCCCAAGTCTTCTCTCCCCCAGGCTAAACACCGAGAATTTCCTCCAGTCTTCTCGGTGGGCCCCTCACCATCCTAATCACTTCCCTGGATGGTGAGGCCTCTAAAACCCTCGGGGCCTCCCCCTTCTTCCACTTGTGAAGTGGACTTTCTGGATCCCAACACGAGACTGTCCTCATCAAGCCTCATCTTCCCCGACGTGGTCTGAATCTCTTGCCCTCTCCTAGCTTTGGGGATCCTGACTCTGTTGTGCCTTGGGCTAGCTAGTGGTCAGCCTACCTTCCTGTCACCTGCAAATGCAATAATGTGCCAGGGATGTCTTCAGCCACGTCATTGATAACCATTTTGAACAGTATAAAGTCAGGCTTAGATCCCTCAGTGCGCCACTGGCAACCTCCAAGCACTAATGACCGAGGGAATGGCTCTCCCAGTGTTCCCAAGAATAGCATGGGAGACCCGTTAACTGGAACGTGGACATCGAGAGAGCTCCTATCTGTGACGCTCCTTTGACCTATTGACCTCTGCTTAAGAAAACCCCAAATGATATTTATGTGACCTGACCTGTTCTTGTGACACTGCTTCCTTTACTAGATGTTTACCAGCCATCGCTTTAATAGTCTCTTCTAGAATTGTGCCAGGAATTAAAGTCAGGGTCACTGGTCTGTTGTTTGCAAACCCCCCTTTTCCTTTAGTGAGCGTCAGAATACATGCCGTTTTTGAAGCCTGTGGTTATCCTTCCCTCATCTCTTCTTTAGAGTCTTTGACAAACCACTGATGGGGGCTCAAAGTATCCAGTCTAATCCAGTAGCAATAGCTACTAAGTGTCTGCTCTGGGCAAGGCCCTGGGATGGATGGGGAAGATAGAAAGGTACACTCACAGCTGCCCCTAGTCTGGCTCCCAGCCAGGGCAGCCGGTAATCTCAAATTGTCTCCGTATCCTAGGTTTGAACTACCTGAGAGCTACTTTTGTTCTGTCCCTTCCAGGCCATGGATCATAAGCAAAAGAAAGTGGGATTTGCTCTGCTTCTGTTCTGCTGTCTGTTATCATTATCCCAGTCTCAGCCCCACCAGACCACTACCTACTAGCTCCTCTTGGACCTCCTCTTTCCACCAGCATAACATTAAACGGAATCCCCTGTTGGTGGTCCTATTCTCCCCTTCCAGGCCCAGCTGGCCTTGAAACATCAGCTGAACTCCTGCCGATGGCGCCAGCAGTACAAAACTAGGCGATGCTTCTGTACTCTCCCTCCATTACCTGTGCTTGTCTCCCTCAGCTACAACCTTCTTCCAGGGACTCAGCCCCTCTCTCCCCAGCAAAGAATCATTCTCCATACACATCACCATATGTGCCACACCCCTCCTCCACAAGCACAGGTGCCCACGGAGCACACTCACAATGCAAAATGGAACCAGGCATCTGAGAGGATGGACTGCAGGTCTGAGGGCCTTAGCAGGAAGATAGCGATGCCCTAGGAAAGGAGGAAGAGGGCTGACAAGGGAGTTTCAGAGCTGAGGAAATACATCCCCGCCCCAGCCCCTACAAAGCTCTTTATTGGAGGGTTGAGGAGCTTGGTCTAACTCAATTCAATCAAATGTTTTCTGAGCACCTCCCCTGTGCCAAGCACTGTGCTGGCTCTGGGCATACAGCTACAACAAGGCGTAGTCCCTGCCTTCAAGGACCTTACCAAGTCAAGGGAGACAACTCAAACTAATAAGCATAATATAGGCCAGAGGTTGCCAGGGGCAAAGGAGAAATCAAACAGCTCTAGGAACTGGGGGATTGGGGGCAGTGGAGTCAGGGAGAGCTTCATAGAGGTGGCAGCACCTGAGCTGAGAGAATGCACTCCATCAGTGGGTGGCAGCTTGTGCACACACACAGTGGGAGGAAATGACATGTCAAGTTCCAGGAATAGTGGGTTGGTTTAGCAGGGATGGATGTAGCATGCATGAAGGGCAGGGGAAGGGAAAGAGGGAGAGACAGACAGATAAGAGAGACCAACAGAGAGAGAATGGAGAGAGAGCCTGCTTCGGTTTCCTCATCTACAAACTAGAGCCCAGGGGTGCAGTGAGCATAGGACAAAGGTTTACAGAAACATTGGAGAACTAAGAAATGTTCTTGTCATCAATTTGCTTTTCCACAAAGGGGAAACTGAGGCTCAGAGATAAGAAGACTTGTCCAAGTTCTCTCACAAAGTTGGAGGCTGAACAAATGACCTCTTGACCCCCCAGCTCCTCATGCCTCCCCCCTCCTGGAGGCATTGGTTGTCACACCACTCCCATGCTGCAGATGGGGAGACTGAGGCTCAGCTGAGTGAGCAGTGCCTCAGATGCCTGGAAGCTTAATGAGATGGGGGCTTGTCGAGCACCAGGCAGCCCTTCCAGTACCACAGAAATGCCAGCTTTTGTTAGCATCGCCCATGGCGGCCATGCCAGGAGGAGGAGGAGAAGACAGAGTTCTGCCCTCTCTTCAGGACAGTTCAGAGCCCATGTGCCAGGCAGGCAGGGCAGTGTACAGGCCACTAACCTCTTTCACAGAGATGCACGTGGCCCAGATCAGCACAAACATCCTTCCGATGAGCTGCAGCCACCCCATCTTGTGCGTCAGGGCTAGTGGGTGCGGCAGCACCTGGAAGAAGTGGAGACCAAAGGAGAGTGGCAGGGTCCTTTGGGGAATTCCTGCCATGCCAAAGGCCTGCCCGCAGGGAGCCAGCCCTTGTGACGGGGCTCTCCAGGAGTGTTTAGGACTGGTCTCAGAGCCTCAGACAAGCTGAACTGGGAGGGGTCTCAGTGGCCTCCAGTCCCACCTGTGGCTTCACCCTCAAGGCAGGATTGGCCATCAGCTCTGCCTTGAAGCCCCCAAGGAGGGAGAGCCTCCCCACTCCCTAGGCAACCAGGCCACTGTGGGACAGCTCTCACTGTCCTTACTGAACCTATCTGGCATCAGCTCATGGACAAATACGCCCTGTTATCGCTCCTTTATGGGTTGGACTAGACTTTAGAGAAGCCCCCAGACCCAGAGGAGAAACAACTTTGGCCCATCCTGCTCTATCCCAAGACCACAGACTGACCCTCTCCCCATGAATAAAATGGAGCAAATATTGTCTCTTCACCTTCCCTGCTTCAACTCTGACCCCTTTATCCATAAACACTATTATGTGAATGACCAACTTTAGACTTCCCCCACTGTGTTCTCACATCCATTATCTCAGCTTCTCTGTAGAGCCTTCCAGCAACTCCATAAGGCAAGGGAGACATGAATAGCTCTCAGCAAACATGTAATGCCTCAGTGGATGTAGTCAGGAAGCCCTGAGTTCCCAGCTGTGTGACCCTGGGCAAGTCACTGAACCTCGGTCTGCCCATTTCCTCATCTGTAAAATGAGGATAATAATAGCACTGACTTCCCAGGGCAGTTGAGAGGATGAAAGAGATCAAAGTTTTGCAAATTTTACAGAGCTAGATACAGACTAGCTATTACTGTTGTCATGATTTCCCATTTTTTTTTTTTTTTTGGTGAGGCAATCAGGGTTAAGTGACTTGCCCAGGGTCACACAGCTAGTAAGTGTCTGAGGCCGGATTTGAACTCAGGTCCTCCTGACTCCAAGGCTGGAGATCTATCCACTGTGCCACCTAACTGCCCCTCATGATTTCCCATTTGACAGATGGGGGAAGTGACTTATCTAAGATGCCGCATAGGGACCCAGGCTCCTGGCATTTACACAGTGTATTATTTTGCTTTTGTTGGGATGTTGATTTATCATTACCTGCAATGTATTTTTTTTTATGAGTCTTCTCCTTCCCCACTTTCGCAGCAAATACAAAATCCTCACAGCCTGGCTGCCCCTACCTGTTTCCAGTCTTCTTACACTTTATTCCTGACAGTACTCCTTGATCCAGTGATACCAGCCTCCTACCTTGATTGACTCAGAGTGAAAGGAAACAGCAATTGTTTCTGTTTTGGCCAGACACCCTGAGGGTCTTCCCCTCCCAGACTGATTTTTTTTTCTATTTGACTAGATAAAGAAGCCAGTCTCTGCCTCATTTCTTACCTAGCCTTAATCACTGAATGGGCGCTGCCTCAGTCAAACTGAGACCTGGGAAAGACCTTAGTTTAAAAAGGCCAAGGTCCCGCCACTGCATCCTGGGCCATCTCCAGTTGTCCTGATCTATATCTGGCCCCTGGACCCAGATGGCTCTGGAGGAGAGAGTGAGGCTGGTGCCTTTGCACAGCCCTCCCTCACTTAAATCCAATTCACTCTACGAGTGAACAAGCAGTTCAGGACCTGGATGGAGTCTGACAGAGCAGCCTTAGATACCCCTCTGACTGAGACTAATTGTCGTCCAATTGTGTGACATGTAGGAGTTTTGTGTCTCCAACTAGACCCTGAAGTCCTAGGTGCCAGGGTCCTATGACCTCTGACTGCATGAGAGAAGAGGGAAGAAGATGCTGTCAAGGACATGGCTGCCATTTTACTTGTGAACCAGCTCTATCACCCAGCCCTTTCAGTGCTCTCTCTGCCCAAGACCTCAGGCAGCTTCCAAAACAACCTGGAGCTCAGCACACTCTCTGAGTACAACACCGGTGGTTGGGCTGGGCTTGTGCCTTCCCATTAGGGACACAGAGGTGACCCCTGATCTAGCAGAACCGCACTCAAGATTAGCAATCAAGAAGAGAAGGGGCACCATCGGCTTACGCTATTGTTCTGGAACGACTGCAGGCCGGTGGAGATCTCACGTACCTCCTCCTCCCGTGGCCGATAGTAAGAAACCAGGGTCAAGGTGATGTTATAAAAGAAATAGAAACAGAAGGACGTGAAGAACATGTATTTAGCAAATTTCTTCCACTTCATTCGCAGCAGGGTGTGCAGAGGCTCAAGGGTCAGCATTTCATGGCGATTCTATGGCCAGGAGATGGGAGACACAGGAGATTAGTCAAAACGGACCCCAGAATGAGGGGTGTAGGGGGCAGCTAGGTGGCGTAGTGGATAGAGCACTAGCCCTGAGGTCAGGAGGACCTGAGTTCAAATCCGGCCTCAGACCAAACACTTGACACTTACTAGCTGTGTGACCTTGGGCAAGTCACTTAACCCCGATTTTCTCATTTAGAAAAAAAAAGAGAATGAGGGGTGTGACAGGACAGACACGATCACACCGTGTGGGCGGCTCCCTCCCTCAGCACCTGTGGTTTACTTTTAACTCTGTGGAATTCCCTGGCAGCTTGGGGGGACACTGAATGACATTTTAGGGACCTTGACAGAAGTTTCCAATCCCAAATCAGAATTTTCTCACCTGTGGCTGGGACCAAGTACTTCAAATCAGGCAACAGGAGAAAAGCACAAAAAAAAACCAACAACCCCAAAACCCAAACCCTTAGCTTGGGGCATTCTGTTGGCTTTTGAGGGCTGCCTGGCTGGTTGGGTGTAGTTTAGCCTACAACCACATGCTAAAAGCTCTCTAGCCCTTCCTTTCCAGGGACAGGTTTGCTAGTCACTACGCTTCAGCAGATGGTGGTGGCAGGCATCCCTGTAGAAGCTGGACTAGTAGGTGGCAGAAGAGGGGCAGTCAGACCAGTGGAAATGCCCAGCAGAAAACAGGACCTGTAGCACTACAGTACCAATGGTGGGAGTTGCCCTGGCCACATGTGTCCCCATGTACCCCATGCTTTGGTCACACATGTTCTTTATGTATTTATGTGTTCCCTCCTCAATTGATGGTGACCCATAAACTGTCTCCCATGCGGAAATGGAGTCCATCTTTTATCACTTAATCTGCCATCTTGTTTAATTAAATGTCTTTGTCTTGTAAAGCTCCCAAATCACGGGGGCTCCTGAGCTGTCTGTGAGTGGGTGCTGACCCACCCAGTGCCTTGAAGCTGACCTAGATCCTGGGGGGCCCTGTTTGAGGAGGGAGGCCTAAGCATCTCTGCCAAGGGGGGTTATCTCTGAATTGTAAGGGACAGAACCAAACTGGCTGCTAAGGAGCTGACCCCTGTGTGGGTAAGGAGACATTTGTCCAGCTCCAGTGTGCCACCAGTGAGTTGAAGAGCAGCTACAAGGCTGAGTGCTGAGAGATGTGACCAGTGACTGTGAGACCTTCCTAGGGATCCCTGAATAATGGTGGAGCATGGGGGAGCCGCTTCCAGAACGCCCCATTCACCAAGAAAGGAAAGAAGAGATGGTGTGCTCCCCACACCTCAGTTCTGGGCAGTGTTTCAGAACACTCTAGATGATGACAGAGAGCCGGCCAGGAGAATCTGACCTCCTTTTGGGACAGGGTGACCGGACACCACCCGATCCCAAGCACTGCCTGGAGGGTGCCATCACAAGGGCTGGCTCCCTGTGGACCGCTGGCATGGCAGGAAGTCCCTGAAAGACTCTGCCTCTCTCTTGCTGTCCCCATGTTTCCCAGGTGCTGGCACATCCTCTGGCCCTGGTGCACAGGATGTGGTGGCTGCAGGGGACCTCACTCTCTCTGATTATCCTTGTGGAAAGGATGGAGAGATAGGGGCCACACAACAGAGTGCCGTGGAGCAGAGAGAAACCTGGAGGAATGGCTGCACCGTTCTAAGAGGCTTCAGTACTGACTCAAGGCATTCATCCATAGGAGGGGTTAGAGCTATCTGGGCTTGGCCCTGGGCTAGCCTTCCCTCAGGCCAGCTGGAACTGGACCCTGACCACTAGGACCTGCCCCCCACCTGCTCTTTCTGCCCTTCCCCCAAATCGTCTCCTCCTGGGCCCCAAGGCCCTTGTTATCTCCCTGTAATGCCGCTGAGTGGGGAAGAGCTGGTGGCCTGGCCCCTGCTGGGGACCACCACTGTACTCTGAGTGACTCGACCTCAAAGGAGGGAAGGTCCTTAGGCCTCAGGCCCGGTGACAGATGTTTGCCTGGCCCCCCTCCCGGGGGTAGTGCCAGCCTGGCTACCACCACCCTGGCCAGGGGCAGGCCACTCACATCGATGTTGGTGTTATAAACAATGATCTCCAGCACTGAGTTGTCTGTGGTGGTGTCCACATTGGTGAGGTCGTAGAGGGAGGATGAGACGGGTCCGTAAGCCCAGTCTGTGAACTTCCTAGACAGGCTTCTGCGAGGTTTCTCCTTGATCTCCCGGCTGAGGATGTACTTGAGGATCTGAGGACAGGACAAGGTTTCTCTGGGGAGGGGCCAGACTGTGGCGGTCCTCAGAACTCTCTTTGAGGCGGCGCCAGCTGGCCCCTTGAGCGCCAATTCTGCCGTTCCCAGCATGGGAGAGGGGTGAGCAGAGGAGCCCGTTGGTGTTTGAAAGGGGGTGACCGTCCCATCTCCACTACAGCCACGCCCCTCCAGCCCCTGCCTGTCCTGATCGGCTGCCTGAGCTCGGGGGAGGAGGCTAAGCCTTCTCTGGAAGGCTCACTTCTGATCTCAAGCCTTTTTCTGCCAGACGCATCATCACACATGAGCAGGGGTGGGGCTCACACGGGCACACATGAGCACACACATCATCACACATGAGCGGGCATGGGGTTCACATGACACACATGAGCACACATATCTTCACACACAGGGTGGTGGGGCTCACATGAACACATATCATCACACATGAGCAGGGGTGGGGCTCACATGGGCACACACATCATCACACATGGCGGGAGTGGACACACATAAACACACACACACTCAAGACTTGCTGCAGGTAAGAAGCTCTTGCCCCCCTACTCTTCCCTCCTCTTTGGATCTGAACCCCACAGACCATTATCCTCCCCCATGTTGTTCTCTAAGGGACTATAAGCACCCTGAGGGCAGGGACTATGCCTTCTCCTTCTGCCCCACTCCCTCAGCCCTGCTGAGCTCAGGAGCCCTACCAAGCCTGGGCTGCACTTTGGGCAGTCCCGAGAACCTGACTGAGGGAGTGCATGAATGAACGAATGAACGAACGAATGAATGAATGAATGAATGAATGAATGAAGTCGCTCATAGGCTTGGGGAGAAAAGGCCCAGAGAGGTGGGAAGTGGTCCTGGAGTGGACAGTGGGCAAGTCTCTGCAGGGAGGGTGGTGACTTCCCTGAGGAAGGGGGCCACACACACACACACACACACACACACACACTCTCTCTCTCTCTCTCTCTCTCTCTCTCTCTCTCTCTCTCTCTCTC